CCCCCTCTCTCTCTCTAGACCAAAATGCGTGAGATTCTTCATATTCAGGGTGGCCAATGTGGCAACCAAATAGGTGCGAAGTTCTGGGAGGTGGTATGTGCCGAGCACCGTATAGATGCCACCGGAAGGTACCAGGGAGACTCAGATCTTGAACTTGAAAGGGTCAATGTCTACTACAACGAGGCCAGCGGTGGTCGGTTCGTCCCTCGAGCTGTGCTCATGGATTTGGAGCCTGGAACCATGGATAGCATCAGATCTGGGCCTTATGGTCAGATTTTTCGCCCAGATAACTTTGTTTTCGGTCAGTCTGGGGCTGGAAATAATTGGGCAAAAGGGCATTACACTGAAGGTGCTGAGTTGATTGATTCTGTTCTTGATGTCGTGCGAAAAGAGGCTGAGAATTGTGACTGCTTGCAAGGTATTTGATAAAAAGCATATAAACGGTCATTACACACTCCCTTTAACCATTCTGTACTCAAAACCTAAATGTTGACATATTTACTCATTTGATTGTTTGATTTGCAGGGTTTCAGGTGTGCCATTCTTTGGGAGGTGGGACTGGGTCTGGAATGGGGACTCTTCTGATTTCGAAGATTAGGGAAGAGTACCCAGATAGAATGATGATGACTTTTTCGGTCTTCCCTTCTCCTAAGGTTTCGGATACGGTCGTGGAGCCTTATAATGCGACTCTGTCTGTTCATCAGCTTGTGGAAAATGCAGACGAGTGCATGGTTCTTGACAATGAGGCGCTGTATGACATTTGCTTCCGAACGCTCAAGCTCACCACTCCAAGTTGTAAGTTTTCTTGAATTTTCGAGGCATTTATTGGTTAATATAAACACTGTCTTGGATCAGAAAGGTTTTTCTCACTAATTTGTGTATATGATTTGATTGGTCATATCATGGCCGAGTCTTGCTTATTTGTTTAGGTTGATGCCCGACGAAATATTGGGTCTAATCTGGGTTTATTTTAAAAAATGAGACTAATTTACTTGAAAGCGTTTGGGGCATACCTTATGGTAGCTGTTCTGTATCATTTTTCGTGTGTAATATTTAAGAAGAATGATTTTAGAGATGCTTAACTGTAGCGTGATGGTTGTAAAGTTTTTGGGGAAAAAACCAATGTTTCGTTCATATGTTTATTAATTCTAGGGTATTGTTATTGTCAGGAAAGGTTTTGCTGCTTTTGGAGAAATTCAACAAAATTGGGTAGTACGTTGAATTTCTTAGGAAGAAACGAAATATTTTTCTTCAGAAAAAAAAAGTTAAGCGTCTCATGGCACTAAGGTGACCATGTTTTTCTTTGAATTTCAATGAGGTTCTTCATGTCACCTTTTCACTGCTATGAATGGATTCGTTGTCACAAAATGGAAAGCAAATGTGAGAGTTTGCTGTGTGCTTCACGATGATCAACCTGTGAGTTTAGTAGTTTAGGTGTTTAACAACGTTCTATAGATTTTGCAATCATGATTTGTCCATAATTATATAAGAATGAATTTAGTTATAATGCTATACCCTATGTGAGATCAGCTTGACAAATAATATTCTTTCTGAGGTTGATTTTTCTACTGAAGAAATTTTATAGATGATGAGTAATTTGGGGAACTTTTCAAATACATCAGAGGGCGATGGTCATTTTGTTTTGAAATGAAAGAGAAAAGTGTTGTGTCACATCAATCTCCATGTAGGAAATCCAACTGGACTGAGGTGGCTCATCTCTTTTTTTCTCTAATTTCAAAATGCTTAGTTAGGTTGGCCAAATTTTTGATATCAACTTTTGTTTACTTAATGTTGTGGCACACTCACAACAAACAAGTAAAACCCAAAAATGTTTGATGATTCAGAAAAATGTTTGCTGTAAATGTTTGGTAAGAGTAGTATTAAGGAAGTTCAAAACCAAATGATAAGTTTTGTTGCACCAAAATGTACTTTGTTGGAGTATTAGCATGTGAGTTACTTCTTTTTCATTGGAGATTTTTCTGGTGGCGAGTTCCTTGGTGTTTTTAGCAGCACTGATTATAGTTTTCCCCGTCTTAACAGTTGGAGATCTGAATCATCTGATATCTGCTACCATGTCTGGGGTTACATGTTGCCTAAGATTTCCAGGCCAGCTTAACTCTGATCTCCGCAAGCTTGCTGTGAACCTCATTCCATTTCCTCGTCTTCACTTTTTCATGGTGGGTTTTGCTCCTCTTACCTCACGTGGATCTCAGCAATACCGGGCATTGACAGTTCCTGAACTCACCCAGCAAATGTGGGACTCAAAGAACATGATGTGTGCTGCTGATCCTCGTCATGGCCGTTATTTGACAGCATCAGCTATGTTCCGGGGAAAGATGAGCACCAAGGAAGTGGATGAGCAGATGCTAAATGTACAGAACAAGAACTCTTCCTACTTTGTTGAGTGGATTCCCAATAATGTCAAGTCAACGGTGTGTGATATTCCACCAACCGGGCTAAAGATGGCTTCAACATTCATTGGCAACTCAACATCGATACAGGAAATGTTCAGGCGTGTGAGTGAACAATTCACAGCCATGTTTAGAAGGAAGGCTTTCTTGCACTGGTACACAGGAGAAGGAATGGATGAGATGGAGTTCACTGAGGCTGAGAGCAACATGAACGATCTGGTATCAGAATATCAGCAGTATCAAGATGCAACAGCTGACGAGGAAGGCGAATATGAGGATGAAGAGGAAGAATATCAGCAGTGATGCTGATGATGGTAACTGGGGAAGGAAGAGTTGCTTTAACTGTGGTTGTAACCTCAACTACCAGTTTTCCAGATTGTAGGGGGAAACATTTGCACTATGCAGAACCATAAAACTTATTAGTTTTCCTTAATTGCAATTTCTTATATGATTTGTGTGTGTTTTTCCAAAATCTTTGCGTGGCATTGCAATGCTAGTAGCTTCATATACCCTTAGATTGAGTATGCTTGCAGCTTCCTATGACCTGCGGAAGCAAAAACATGACCTCGCCTTTTAAATTTGGTATTACTTGAGTTCTTGGTGTAACTTGGCTTGGAGTAATCACCATAATGCAACTCCTAATTCATGGATACCGGCACCATTAGAGTAGCAATGGTCCTACTCTAGTGATTATACAGCAAACACAAGTCTCTTTGTATAACTCTAACATGCCAGGTCTACATTGCAACCTTGTAACTTCTAAGTCATTTGACATTATTACACTTCGAGACTCTAAGAAGATGGTAAGGCTATGATATTATCAACTATGCTATTAAAATCCGTATTCACAAATATTGATTGAACAAATAATAAAATAATTAAAAAAAACTTTAAACGTGAGAGGGACATAAAATATATTTGAATTTGACCTTAAAGAGCATATGTGTATCTCTCTAGGCCTTTTTAGTGGTACTGGATGCCCAAAAAAGAATATTACAATTATGTGCAAAATATTTCTCAATTAAAAAAAATTATTTTTGAATATGTAATTTTTCCAATTTTTAAGGGGACTGATATGGAATTAGCAAAAATATCATTAAAAACCATCATTTTCAATTCAAAATTATATATTTCCCATTTAGCCGTTTCATTTCACCTCTTTCTCTCTCTTAATTTCGGTATAGATTAACTGTTTTTAATCGAATTAAAAAAAAAAAATTGAAGTAGATATATATTAACTTAGATACCCGAAACCGTTAAAAAATAAAAATAAACTAAAAAAATAAAAATATTAAACAATATAAGAAAAAATGAAAATTGGAGAAAAAGAATGTAATCACAGCAGCACTCGGTACATTTAGGAAGCCGAAAGAAGAGAGGGAGAGAGAAGGAGATTATCTGAAAATGGCGAGCAGTCTCGCAAACAGAGCAGCTTCAATGGAGAGAACGGCTAGCTTCTTTCGGCTCTCCTTCAGATTTCTTAGAAATTTCAGCGATTCCACCACTACTCCTGCAACTTCGCCGGCGGTTGGGGAAGCCAAGAAGCCCAAGAGGAAGAAGAAGAAAAACCTATTCGAGGTGGCTCAGTTTCTACCCAATTGGGGCATCGGATACCACATGGCCAAGACTCACTGGATCGGCGTATCCTATCAGATCACCAAGATTAATCTCTATAAGGTCTTTCCTAGTCGTTCATCTATATATCAATTCGTGTTGGGTTCTTTTTTATTCGGTTTGTATTAAGGTCGTTTTTAGGGTTTAATGAGTTTTTTGGAGGGTTTTTGCAGGATGGTAGACACGGGAAGGCTTGGGGACTTGTTCATAAGGATGGTGAGTTTTCACATTCTCTCTTGTGGCTTTGGTGTTTCTGAAATGTTGTTTAATCCTATGTTTGGTTGCTGCTAAAATGCATTAGTTGTTAGAACGGTTTTGTAATTGTCCTCAAAGAAAAGGTTTTTGGTTTTCTTATGGCTCAAACAGAATTGTTCAAGCGTGAAAAATTGATTGTGATTCTTTTCTTACATTTTCTCAGCAGTCGAGGTTTAGGGTTTTTCATTCTCTTTTGTGCTTAGTGTAACTGATATTATAGGATGTATGACAAACAGATTCGGAAAGAATATTACTAATAAGTTATAAACTAGCTAGGTTTATAAATGTGGGATATTTGGAGATATGTATATAGTTATTGGCGCAAAATATGCTTTTGTAAATCTACATAAGTGGCAAGAGAGTTCCAGAAGTCCGCAGATCATGTAATTTTTTTAACTGACTCTGCATAGATATTTTAGCTCCCATTGACGACTGTCTTGGTGACCAAGAACGTCCTGGTGGGTGAACTACCTACGTTAGGTTCTCCCGCAATCAGTTGTATTAATGGGGTCAAATGAATAGGAAAAATCTGGCCGCACTCAAATTTTTCTTAGCTCCTACAAAGAAGTCCTACTTAGAACAAATATGTAAGCTTCATATCACATGCATTGTTAGCATATTTCTATTTGTTTCTTTCTTTTTTGCTCTTTCCCCCCTTAAAATCCTTTTATACCCATCAATAATCAGACAAGAATCCTCCTTCTGGTAAGAGTCCCACATATGAAGGTTATGCTTGTCATGGGCATATGGAGCACATTGCATGAACTCTTCAAATCTTTCATCTATTCAAGACGTAAGATTTGAACTCTTCAACTAGTTCATCTGTCCACTAAATAAGATTGGAAGTTTTAACTCTTCAAAATTTTCATCTATACACGAAATAAGATATGATAAAATGTCGGTTGTGGATGAGTTGAGTAAATATCTACGTCACTCTTTCAAACCCAAATTGGAACTTGTGGTGCTAAAATGCACTGAAGAGTAAGTTTTTAGGTCTTTTGCCACAAAAAATATTAATTATTATTTTTATTTAACTATTTTGTTGATTTGACTTTCAAGTCAGCCACTGTTCACTTGTACAAGGTGACTACTGGCTTATTTCCAGAATTAAGTACCAATCTATGGCACTTTTTAAACAAAATTACTGGAATACGGTTTTTTTGAATTTATTTTTCAAACTATGGCATTTTTTTTTTATTTTTTATTTCCCGAAGGTACTATGGCATATTTATTTACCAATCTATGACATTTTTTTAAAAGTGTGGTTGTTAACCCTACATTTGTTAGAAAGCGTGGTCAACAATGCCGCTTTAAATTGAACTGAATTTTTGTTTCCCAATAATCCTTTCTGCTAATGCTTGAATACCACTAAATCTTTTACCGTTTCTCTTCCAAATTTCACCAAGAAGACCTTTCAACGATTCTCCATGACAGTAGAGCAATTGAATCTGAAAAAAAAAAACTTCTTGAATTAAAATACGATCCGACACAACCTTCTTTAATCATCAAAATGCCCTTCCGACATTTCCAAATCATGGGTAAAATCTAGGAATGATGAAAAAAGTAAAAAATAAAACTCAAATGTGTAATCTGCCATTTACGGTATAGCCCAACAATCAATCTATAGCAACCACTTCAAGACAATTCTATTCAACAATCAAAACAGAACTCACACCGAAAACTAAATGGCTCTAGCGTCATAGAGAATTGTCCAAGGGTCTCTTGGGTAAAATTTGGGAGAGAAACGATAAAAAATGAAGTGTTATTCAAGCATTACCAAGAAGGATTATTTGGAAAAAGAAATTCCGGCTATCCTGTTTTTTAAAAAATGTCATAGTTTGGTAAATAAATTCAAAAATATCGTATTCTGCCAATTTTTTTTGGAAAGTACTGTAGATTGGTACTTAATCCCTTCTTTCCATGTATACATGTTGGTGGCAACATTAACTTCACAACTTTAATAAGACAAAAAAGAAGGAATGATTAGTTCGAATCCAAATGACTAGGAGTCATGAAAGAGTCACCCTTATGGCTACGGTAAGATGGATGAAAAGATGGGAGAATTTTTAATTTGTGATTCATGTATGCATATCAGACCAGTGGAGAAATGTCAAGAAGTGACTTAGACATTATGTTTATGTTATTCATCCACATCTAAATATATTCATGCAATGAAAACATCTGAAATGGTATAGTGCATAGTTAGGTAGGATAAAATCATTTCTGCTAAAGATGTGCAGGTGGTATAGGTATAATATGGCATCCAAAGGAAAGAAATGTTGAGAGATCGTCATTTCACAGAGTTTGGTGGCATAACATGGAAATGATTAAACCNTGCATAGTTAGGTAGGATAAAATCATTTCTGCTAAAGATGTGCAGGTGGTATAGGTATAATATGGCATCCAAAGGAAAGAAATGCTGAGAGATCGTCATTTCACAGAGTTTGGTGGCATAACTTGGAAATGATTAATCCAGTTGTAAAAAACTGACAATGATCTCTTGTTTTAAGGTGAATCGGGATAGCTCCCAAGGAACAAGGTATTCTGTTTGCGGATTGGGGTTGCCTCTTCAAAATAGAATTCCATTGTTTTAGCTGGTTTTCTGGTGTAAACCATAGAAGTTTTAGTATAAAAAGTTTTGAAATCACTGTGGTGGCTTGATCGAATTTTATGCCTGTGTAAACTGTTTCATAGTCTTGATTCTTTTAGTGAATTATGCAGGTTTGCCAGCTGCAGATGCTCCCAAGAAAATAAGTGGAGTTCATAAACGCTGTTGGAGATACCTTGCAAACTCAAAGAAGCCAGAAGAGATCACCCCAAAACCAGAGGTTCCAGCTGCTTGATCTCATTTTTCCTCTCAAAATCTTCACTTAGTGGTTACCTAGCTGATCTTACACAATGTGCTTTGTTAGAGCAGTTGAGTTCATGGATTCCTTTGATGCTGTTGTGTAATAGGAATCAAATGACATGTTACTTGATTAATGAGATTTTCCATTTATGAGCATGAAGGTTAGATCTTTAACATTACTCTTGCATTTAGACCTCGAAAAACGTTTAGCACCCGTGCGTGGTTTCATTGTTGATGATGTCTCTTATGATTATAGCAAAAAATAAAAATAAAAAAATTTGCAAGCCTTTTAACCCTCTTTAAATGCAATGTCGTGGTTGTGATAGGGATTTTAGCAACAACAAAAGTTCACTATAAATGACGAAGATTATAAGTTCTCTGAAGTAAGAGTAGTAGAACAACTACCTGATCTGCCACGAATTTACAATATAAATATCACCCGAAGACATTGTTTTCCAATTGGATTAGAGTTTTAAGTTCCCTAGTTTTCTAACAGGATCAGATTCCCTGAAACAGATTATCCAAAAACTGGGCCTGCTGAACTAATGTAGTTTAACCTTCAGCTCTTGGACTAAGGTTAAGTAAATATTGAATTACAACCCAATTTGAGTTTTACGTTGGATTGAATGTGAAATCGAAGCAAAATACGTGACAGCTACAATAAATCACATGAGAGAGAGATTTTTGTCTAATTTTTGATATCATGTACCTGTCAGTATGAACATAACCCACTACTCTTTTTTTTTTCCTAATATTATAGTTAAAAGTGTCCAGACCAATTTACGCGCGCACTTCAATTGATCCTCTTTTTAGTTCGATCAAAAATAAATTATATACGTTGGGACTAAAGAATTCACAAAAGATAAATTTTTTATAACCTAGAGTTGTAAAATTTTAAAGTCAAAGATGTTTCATCTTGTCTTCACTGAAGCATCGCTAGGTTAACATAACCCACCAACCAAAAAAGATTTCCTCTCTCATGTGAACAGAACAAATTAGCATTCAGGTCAAGTCATAATGCTCCCACGAACAAGCAGCTTTGCCTGTGCGTTCCGGCTTTTTGAATGCCACTCCCGACCATTAAAAGCTTTCATAATTTTATCAAGAAACGACAAAATATTGTATGAAGCAGAGGGAGAGGGAGAGGGAGAGGGAGAGGGGGAGAGAGACTTCAATCAACTAAAGTTCATTTCATCACGCCAAAACACTATATATTATACTCTCCACTGTCATTTTGTATTGATTTTCTCAGATCTCTTCTGTTATATATACACCCAACTTCTCTACCCAATCCCATCAAGATCAAGAATCCTGTCAGAGTTCCAATCATCAAGATTTAGAGCAACAAACCCCAAACACCTTTCTCAAACACACCCAAAATGGCATTGATCCTCTTCCTTGTTCTTTCTGCCTTCCTCCAAGGAGCTCTTGGTAATGTTACCCCCTCATTAACATTTCCTATCCTATCTTATTTCCTTTAACTGCTCAAAATTTCCTTTCGTTTCAAACGTTTCTGTTTTTGTTGCAAATAAAAAAAATCAATAATTGAAAATTTAAATCATTTCAAGGTGTTTCTAATTTTGTTATCTGTATCAAAAATGTTTCTTCGAAACCGAGCTGACCGAAACTAAAAGTGAGATACTAGTTGGTTTTTATTTTCAGAAACAGTTTCTAGAAAAAAAACTGTTTGAACATCTTTTTTTATTTATGTTTTTTGAAAACTGGAAACAAAAAATAAGTAAATTTAAAGAACGAACAAGTCATTTGTGTGTTTTTGAAAATATTTTTTCTAGAATTTAGAAAGCACTGACACCAAATTTCNGAAGATTATAAGTTCTCTGAAGTAAGAGTAGTAGAACAACTACCTGATCTGCCACGAATTTACAATATAAATATCACCCGAAGACATTGTTTTCCAATTGGATTAGAGTTTTAAGTTCCCTAGTTTTCTAACAGGATCAGATTCCCTGAAACAGATTATCCAAAAACTGGGCCTGCTGAACTAATGTAGTTTAACCTTCAGCTCTTGGACTAAGGTTAAGTAAATATTGAATTACAACCCAATTTGAGTTTTACGTTGGATTGAATGTGAAATCGAAGCAAAATACGTGACAGCTACAATAAATCACATGAGAGAGAGATTTTTGTCTAATTTTTGATATCATGTACCTGTCAGTATGAACATAACCCACTACTCTTTTTTTTTTCCTAATATTATAGTTAAAAGTGTCCAGACCAATTTACGCGCGCACTTCAATTGATCCTCTTTTTAGTTCGATCAAAAATAAATTATATACGTTGGGACTAAAGAATTCACAAAAGATAAATTTTTTATAACCTAGAGTTGTAAAATTTTAAAGTCAAAGATGTTTCATCTTGTCTTCACTGAAGCATCGCTAGGTTAACATCACCCACCAACCAAAAAAGATTTCCTCTCTCATGTGAACAGAACAAATTAGCATTCAGGTCAAGTCATAATGCTCCCACGAACAAGCAGCTTTGCCTGTGCGTTCCGGCTTTTTGAATGCCACTCCCGACCATTAAAAGCTTTCATAATTTTATCAAGAAACGACAAAATATTGTATGAAGCAGAGGGAGAGGGAGAGGGAGAGGGAGAGGGAGAGAGAGACTTCAATCAACTAAAGTTCATTTCATCACGCCAAAACACTATATATTATACTCTCCACTGTCATTTTGTATTGATTTTCTCAGATCTCTTCTGTTATATATACACCCAACTTCTCTACCAAATCCCATCAAGATCAAGAATCCTGTCAGAGTTCCAATCATCAAGATTTAGAGCAACAAACCCCAAACACCTTTCTCAAACACACCCAAAATGGCATTGATCCTCTTCCTTGTTCTTTCTGCCTTCCTCCAAGGAGCTCTTGGTAATGTTACCCCCTCATTAACATTTCCTATCCTATCTTATTTCCTTTAACTGCTCTAAATTTCCTTTCGTTTCAAACGTTTCTGTTTTTGTTGCAAATAAAAAAAATCAATAATTGAAAATTTAAATCATTTCAAGGTGTTTCTAATTTTGTTATCTGTATCAAAAATGTTTCTTCGAAACCGAGCTGACCGAAACTAAAAGTGAGATACTAGTTGGTTTTTATTTTCAGAAACAGTTTCTAGAAAAAAAACTGTTTGAACATCTTTTTTTATTTATGTTTTTTGAAAACTGGAAACAAAAAATAAGTAAATTTAAAGAACGAACAAGTCATTTGTGTGTTTTTGAAAATATTTTTTCTAGAATTTAGAAAGCACTGACACCAAATTTCTATTCTCATTATATGTTGGGTTACTATCCAAACAAAATTTTGCTGACACAAAAAGTTTTTCGGATACTATTTTTTGAGATGCTAACTAAAAAGGGCCGAAATTTTGATAATTGCTTGAAATAAAACTACCGACCCTTTTTATGTTGATTCTTGAATATTGTTTTTTGTAGGTGAGATTATATGCGAGGAATTGGGAGTTGGAATGTGCTCATTCTCTGTGGCTTCTTCTGGGAAGCGTTGTCTACTAGAGACTTATGAGGCAAATGATGGAAGTATGGGCTTACAATGTAAGACATCAGAGGTGGTTGCAGAGAACAAACGTGAATGGATTGAGAGTGATGAATGCATCAACGCATGTGGGGCTGAGAGGAAATCTGTTGGAATCTCATCGGATTCACTACTTGACCCTAAATTTACCTCCAAGCTTTGCTCTCGACCATGTTATCAAAACTGCCCCAACATTGTTGATCTTTACTACAGTTTGGCTTTGGGAGAAGGTGATATATATTTTTTTTATCACATGCACACACATAGATGTGTTAATCGAGTCGAGGTGTTTGATTATGCTTAAATTTCCTTCGGTTGTTAGAGGTCAAGTTTCAGCTAGAGTTTGAGTTCAACTGACGAGCTTAGATTTTTGTTCAAGCTTGACTAGATAGANCTTGAGATTGACAGGACTATATAATACAAACTCAATTCAACAGTACTATTATATCGAATGTAGTTACAAGTATTCAACGAGTGGATTTATCATCGTCTATAAAATCCGGATAAATTTAAATTTTTGTGAAATAGGGTAAAACGGTAATTTGTCACTACGGTACAAGTTGAAAACCCCTTTTTTTTGGATTCGTCTAACGAAATCTAGTTATTAAGTCAATTTTTATTGAATTTTGAGACAATCGAATTTTTTCACGTTTTACGAGGCGATCGAGTGTCGTATGACTTAAAAACGAGATATGGAATAAAATTTCGAAAGTTGAAAAATAATTTAAAAGAAGTTCATATAAAAATATTTTAAACTTGAATCGGAATGAATTTCAATCATTTTAGGATGAAATTGGACCCGGGAATGGAGAACGTGTGGCGCGATGAAGACCAAACATCTAAAACAATGTTATCAGAACCGGACCGGCCATCGAACCGATAAGGGGACCTGGTCAATAGTTCACTAGTTCAACTGTCAGGTCAACTGGTCGGACTTGTTATATAATAAAAAAAATATAAAATATTATAAATATTATAAAATATAATAATTGAGCAAAAGAATATGAAATATATCCGCAACGTATATACTTTGTCCATAAAATTAATGAAATTAAGTATTAAGCATATTAAAAAAGAGGCAGAACAAAATATTTTCGAGTAAATAAAAATCCCACGTAGCCAATAAAAAATGATTAAAAGAGGGGAGATAACAAAGCAAGTNGGGAAATAACAAAGCAAATACAAAACAAAGTGTAAATACTCTGAATGCAATAAATACAAAACCCAGCAGACAGCAAGTGCAAATACTTATGTACTACTATGGTGATGTTTGTTTCTATGCACTGACATGGTGATGTTTGATGGTATTTTCAGGAACAGAAGAAACCAAACAAATCAACACTTTTATTTCACGAGAAAAAAATTACTTTTTTGAAAAAAAAAGGCAAACAATCCTGCCTTCTTATCAAGCCAAGCAAGAAGAAAAAATTACAAGAATCAAAGAATAATAGTTTTCCTCCTTAACATTTTGAGCCCTTGTTGATCCTGTAATAACAACATTTTTTTAAAAAAAGAGAAATTTTATTGAGTAAGCAAAGAATTACAAGAAATAAAGAAGATAAGTCACATTCGGGCTTTAATCCTTCAAAACAACTCACTGTGAAACCATTACAAACCAATGCCCCAAAATACAAAGTAGAGGCTGCCATAATCTCACTAAAAACATAGCAGTCCATTCAGGCTGTGTCTCTTTTTGCAGTATAACCACCCATCATACATACACTTCAAACATACCATTAACCACAATCATCAAAAACCAAAATAGTTTTGGTTCTCAATGTAGGCAAATGTCGCTGGTCTTGGAACAACTTCATTCTAACAGCAATTGGAAAGAGACTAGTACTAGAAAAATTAGTCGAAAAACCATCTCGGACCGCCTTATTTGCCAAACCATAAGCTACAAAATTAGCCTCCCTAAATACATGTGCCAACTCGAACTGCATCCTAGCCAAAATTTCATACAGCATCTTGGCTTGCAATGGAATCCTCAAATCTTGAGAGAAATTCGAAGAGAAACCATCTCTCACAACCTGATTAGCAAAGAAATCAGCCAAGCAATTATCTAGAGGAAGCGAAAAAACCAAACCAGCTGAATGTTCGCCTCTATGGCCTTCTCTTCCTCGCCTGAGTGGTCGGTGGTCGCCTGAGTTATGAAGGATCGATTCAATTTAGGGTAAATGCCCCAAAATTTTTTTTTTCTTTTTTTCAAATGGAGTCCCTGAAATTCAAACTATCCTGTTTGATCAAAACCATCCGGTTCACTGGTTTGGTTCAAAATCGGCCAGTTTAACAGTTCTCCGGTGGTTTATTTCCTCATGTAGTCTAACTACAGAATCGGACCGTTTTAGGTCCTGGTTTACGGTTCAATCGGTCGGTCTGGCCCGATTTTAATAACATTAATTTAAAGGGTATAATAGATACGGGAGAAAAATTAAATTTTTTCCCATACATATCAGATTATCCAAAAAATCAAAAGAAGAGAGGGAAGTTTCACCTTTTCTCTACGTTCTATGTCTCTACGTTGCTCGAATCGACTCAAGCTAAGAACAAAAGTTATTCTTCTCATCGAGGGCTACAAAACTATACCAAGAAGGTTGGATTTGGGTGAAATTACAAAGACGAAATTTTAGAAAAAGCTTGGATTAAAGCTTGTTTCGGGTTCTTGGAGTTTCCTACTGTTGTTTTACACTTCAAGAGGAAGAGTTTTTTTTCCTAATTAGGTTTATTTTGAATATAAGGTTTCATATGATATGAGTAGCATGACTTGAGATGAATTCTCTTGTTTAATGTACTGCTATTGTAAATAAAACATATGAAATAGGTATAGAAATAGGCTAAACCAATCTTGCATGAATTGAATTTGTAGATTTTACTTGTTTGGTAAATTCATGAAAAATGTAGATACTTGAAATGTGAAAAATGAGTATTAAGAATGGCTAAAATTAATTTTACCATGAATTGGGTATGCAGAAATTACTTGTTGTGATTTCTTGAGATATGTGATAAAATTGGGTATATTATGTATTTATATGATTTGGTGCCTTGAAGGTGTTTGATTAAATGTCTATTTTGATTAAGTGTATTACTTATATTGATCATGTTATAACATGCTTAGAATTTGATGTCAGTAAGTGTTAGTATATGCATATGATATATTTACATTGAGGTTGTTTATGGTGCTTATATATTTATGATGTAATTTACCATAAAAAAAGGGTTGTTGAATATTAAATTGTTCATAATGTGCTCATGACATATTTAATATGATATTGTAATTGCAATTAAGATCCTAGTTGTATATTGACATGAAATACAATTGTACATTTATATTGCATATACACGGATAACATCATATTTGTGGGCGTTTGATATGAGTGTGGATGTGTGTGCATGGTTTGATCAAACACCACTCTTGGTGAATGATATNCTTCTCTTCCTCGCCTGAGTGGTCGGTGGTCGCCTGAGTTATGAAGGATCGATTCAATTTAGGGTAAATGCCCCAAAATTTTTTTTTTCTTTTTTTCAAATGGAGTCCCTGAAATTCAAACTATCCTGTTTGATCAAAACCATCCGGTTCACTGGTTTGGTTCAAAATCGGCCAGTTTAACAGCTTTTCGGCGGTTTATTTCCTCATGTAGTCTAACTACAGAATCGGACCGTTTTAGGTCCTGGTTTACGGTTCAATCGGTCGGTCTGGCCCGATTTTAATAACATTAATTTAAAGGGTATAATAGATACGGGAGAAAAATTAAATTTTTTCCCATACATATCAGATTATCCAAAAAATCAAAAGAAGAGAGGGAAGTTTCACCTTTTCTCTACGTTCTATGTCTCTACGTTGCTCGAATCGACTCAAGCTAAGAACAAAAGTTATTCTTCTCATCGAGGGCTACAAAACTATACCAAGAAGGTTGGATTTGGGTGAAATTACAAAGACGAAATTTTAGAAAAAGCTTGGATTAAAGCTTGTTTCGGGTTCTTGGAGTTTCCTACTGTTGTTTTACACTTCAAGAGGAAGAGTTTTTTTTCCTAATTAGGTTTATTTTGAATATAAGGTTTCATATGATATGAGTAGCATGACTTGAGATGAATTCTCTTGTTTAATGTACTGCTATTGTAAATAAAACATATGAAATAGGTATAGAAATAGGCTAAACCAATCTTGCATGAATTGAATTTGTAGATTTTACTTGTTTGGTAAATTCATGAAAAATGTAGATACTTGAAATGTGAAAAATGAGTATTAAGAATGACTAAAATTAATTTTACCATGAATTGGGTATGCAGAAATTACTTGTTGTGATTTCTTGAGATATGTGATAAAATTGGGTATATTATGTATTTATATGATTTGGTGCCTTGAAGGTGTTTGATTAAATGTCTATTTTGATTAAGTGTATTACTTATATTGATCATGTTATAACATGCTTAGAATTTGATGTCAGTAAGTGTTAGTATATGCATATGATATATTTACATTGAGGTTGTTTATGGTGCTTATATATTTATGATGTAATTTACCATAAAAAAAGGGTTGTTGAANTTGCTACTGATTTGATATCAAGTTTCACGCGTCCACTCCTCCTTGGTTGTGTGTTCTACATCCCTGCTCCTCCTGACACCATTGAGCAGAGCGTCTTCATGATGATTAGCCTAGTTTGCCCTAGGCTAGTTATCAGTCAATCATTATCTTTCGTAGAAGCAGAGGAGAGGTTGGATTCAACCTACAGAAGGAACACCTCGGTACCGAAGAACATTTGTCTATCTCGGGATTAAGGGTTTTTGCCGAGCCGAGGACACGTGTATTGACCACTCCGATGGGGGGATCCCTTGGCTCCGAGAACTATGGCCTCGACTGATTGAGATGAGTGTCGCCGAGGACACGTGATCATTCCTGACTGAAAACATAACGATGCCGCGAACACGTGTCGCCGATCTATCTTTTTCCAAAAATGTCCCATCAAAGACAAAAGATGTAAGGGAGCCTATGGTGTGGTTATCCGGAACTAAAAGAAGGACTACTGAATGGAGAAGCAAGAACCTTCACAGCAGCCTCAACTCTGATCACAGAAGCTGTAGCAGTGAGAGGAGGCTGTAAAATGGTAGTAGAGTTCGGGCTTCAACGCTGCCACAAATTGAATCTGACTCACAAGTCCTAATAGATTTGATAACCAAGGGTCCAAAATGGATGCAAAGGGAGATAGAGGGAGGCTAGAGTGGGTGTTGGGTAGTTTTTGAGTTTCTTTCTTTGTAATCAAGCTCTTTGAACATTAGTAGTATTAATGAAAGTTGTTATTCCTTGAC